ATATATATATATTATATATATATATATATATATATATATATATATATAATAATCATAATGATGTAGACAAAATTAATGTTGATGATAATGTAAGAATAAATACTAACAAATATGGTGTGAAAAGTTGCGCAACGGATCTAACAACTTTAGGGGTGTTAGCTCCCAGGATACGAACCTGCCGGTCTTAACAGGTGTTCCCCTCACCGACGACATGGGGGTCCATAATGGGGGAGTGCATGGGGGCCGACCTAGACCCTCCCAGCCACCCTGCAGGGGTTGGTGAGGCTAGCCCTGAGCGTCTGGCTTCCAATCTTAGGCAGACATCTTTTAAGGATATAGATATGACAATATCTGAAATATAAGATGAAATTCTCAAGTCGCTAACCCAAGTCATGGATACAAGACACTAGCACCCAAAGACATGCACTGTTTGGCCAGTGGAACTAGTTGTATTAAACAAGAGTCAAAAATACAATAATACGATTAACAATGATTGAAAGGAAGTGTTGTGGTAAAGACTGGGTCTATGCACATGACATTATCTCTCTCCCCTCACATTTCCGGTGTTTGAGTGAGGGTACTCGAGTTGGTGAGGGGAGACACGATAACTGAGTTACCATCCAAGCAGAGAGGGGAGTGTGTGTGTGGGGTCTTACGCACTAGCTGTTCGCTAATAGTGCTTTCTGTCAAGGAGGAAGATCTCTTGGGGCCTGCCTCTGTAGTCTATCTGGCACAACTCGATCTATAATTTTATACAATTTATATTTAATTTTATTTAAAAAGAAATATGCAGGTTCTGTGCAATGTCTGAAAAACACATTTAAATGTCCGTTAAAGGTTTAGTTTGGAAGACGAGTGTGTGGTGATGGTAAATATATATATATATATATATATATATATATATATATATATATATATATATATATATATATATATATATATATATATATATATATATATATATATATATATATATATATATATATATATTATATATATATATATATATATATATATATTATATATATATATAATATATATAATATATATATATATATATATATATATATATATTTATATATATATATAATATATATATATATAATATACCATCTGGTATATAACTGGTATAAATTATAGATCAGTTGCACTAACATCACGCATAATAAAAGTCTTTGAAAGAGTGATTGGGAATCAAATTTCCAGTTTTGTGGAAAATAATTAACTACACAACCCAGGACAACATGGATTTAGAGCGGGAAGATCCTGTTTGTCACAGTTACTCATCCACTATGACAGAATCACAGAAGCCTTAGAGAAAAAGCAAAATGCAGATGTTGTATGCACAGACTTTACAAAGGCTTTCGACAAATGTTAGCATGGAGTGATAGAAACTGCCCATTTGTTTCTGCCTCTGCCGGGGATCGAACCCCTTAGGACATCGAACACAGAGCGCTGTCCACTCAGCCGCGAGACCCCCATAAGGGTGTGTATGTGTACTCACCTAGTTGTACTCATCTGGTTGTGCTTGCATGGGTTGAGCTTTGGCTCTTTGGTCCAGCCTCCTGTGTGTGTTGTGTATTTACTATTTGTGTAAGTACACAACATGTATTTACACAAATAGATGTATGTGTGTGTGTGTGTGTGTGCTCGCGTGCGTGCGCGTGTGTGTGTGTTTGAGCCTGCGTGGCCTCAGTCTCAAACTCTTTAGTTAATTATTTTACCCGACAGTGTAGAATGGTCTCCTGCATGGCGTGCAGTCATGAAGATTTGTATTAATGAATGGGTTCATGTAATTAGTTTTAAAGCGGTAGTGCGAGGAGCTGCTTGATGCCGGGAGGTTGTGCACTGGAGTTACGCAGGTAGAGAAGCTCCTGAGGAACCCAACCTGCTGTCTGGCGCCAGATTCACGAAGCAGTTACGTAAGTACTTACGAATGTGAACATCTTTCCTCAATCTTTGACGGCTTTGTTTACAATTATTGAACAGTTAATGAGCTCCGAAGCACCAGGAATCTGGCCCCTGGTCGGCACAGCCACGGTCTCACGTCTTGCAGGGTCGTAGTTCGATCTCTGATTGTCCACTTCTGGACACTGTTCCTTCCCTCCATCCTTATACCCAGAGCCTTATCCTCATATCCCTTCCAGGTGCCTTATCTTGGTAATTACCATACTGTGGATGAGCAAGAAGGGCAGGTGCGTTGGGGCACAGAGAGTGAGGGGTACAGGAATGTATGGAGCCTAACAAAGATTTGGGAATAGGGAGGTAAGAGAAGTATTAATAAGTCTCTACAAGAGGGCACCCCTGTACCCCGGGTTTGGTATACATCTCACGCTCTCTCTGGTCTACAGAAGAACGCCTCGATTCATAACCTTAGTGATGGAGTCGAGGAAATTAGATTGAAACTAATTTCGAATGCATTACGTTTCTGGCCATCTTTTTTGACAGGGTTTTTATGGTGTCGAATTGAGCAGGCGCTGAAGGGCAGCGTCCACCACACGACAAGGTCGCAGCGCATCGCTCAGGTTAGGGGTTTCCCGAAGCGTGTGATGCTGGGGATTGTTTAGAGAGGAGGAAGATGAGCGGCGAGCCGCGGGAGATGAGGTGGGAGGCTGGGTCATCCATCACCCCTGCCAGACCCCAGCGAGCCTTGTGGCACAGCTGCCGCCCTGGGGCCCGGCCCCCAGTGGTTCTCTCGGGGTTGTTGTGAAGGCTCTTGTATAGTGAGAGGTGATGGTGTTGTGGTAGTTGTGAGGGTACAGGAAGTGCTCTTGTGGAACTGGTAAAGGATCTGGGTATGGTGGTGTTGGTGCTGGGGGTGGTGGTGGTGCTGGGGGTGGTGGTGGTGGTGGTGTTGCTGGGGGTGGTAGTGGTGGTGGTGTTGCTGGGGGTGGTAGTGGTGGTGGTGTTGCTGGGGGTGGTGGTGATGGTGTTGCTGGGGGTGGTGGTGGTGGTGGTGGTGCTGTTGGGGGGGTGGTGTTGTGGGGGGTGGTGGTGTTGGGGGTGGTGGTAGTGGTGGTGGTGGTGTTGGTGGTGGTGGTGGTGGTGGTGTTGCTGGGGGTGGTGGTGGTGGTGTTGCTGGGGGTGGTGGTGATGGTGTTGCTGGGGGTGGTGGTGGTGGTGGTGGTGGTGTTGCTGGGGGTGGTGGTGGTGGTGGTGTTGCTGGGGGTGGTGGTGGTGGTGGTGTTGCTGGGGGTGGTGGTGGTGGTGGTGTTGCTGGGGGTGGTGGTGGTGGTGGTGGTGGTGGTGGAGGTGGTGGTGGTGGTGGTGTTGCTGGGGGTGGTGGTGGTGGTGGTATTGCTGGGGGTGGTGGTGGTGGTGGTGTTGCTGGGGGTGGTGGTGGTGGTGGTGTTGCTGGGGGTGGTGGTGGTGGTGGTGGTGGTGTTGCTGGGGGTGGTGGTGGTGGTGGTGTTGCTGGGGGTGGTGGTGTTGCTGGGGGTGGTGGTGGTGGTGGTGGTGGTGTTGCTGGGGGTGGTGGTGGTGGTGGTGGTGGGTGTTGCTGGGGGTGGTGGTGGTGGTGGTGGTGTTGCTGGGGGTGGTAGTGGTGGTGGTGGTGGTGGTGGTGTTGCTGGGGGTGGTGGTGGTGGTGGTGTTGCTGGGGGTGGTGGTGGTGGTGGTGTTGCTGGGGGTGGTGGTGGTGGTGGTGTTGCTGGGGGTGGTGGTGTTGCTGGGGGTGGTGGTGGTGGTGGTGGTGGTGTTGCTGGGGGTGGTGGTGGTGGTGGTGGTGTTGCTGGGGGTGGTAGTGGTGGTGGTGTCGTCTCAAGGTACAACTAACCCATTGTTCCATATCTGTTTTACAGGTTTGTTGAGTGTAAAATCAATATATCTGGCGTCGTAACAACGAGGCAATTGACGCCATTGCGGATGAAGTTAAGGTTAATTAAAGTGAAAATGATAAATTGTTTCCTGTTAAAGTGCCTTTAAATTGCTTAATATAATCAGTTAAACAGGTGATAGTAAATAAATAAACTAAATTTTATGAGAGGGATTCGCCCTTGTTATTGTATCTAATATATTTTTTAAGAGTTTTAAGAATTCTTATATTTGGGTTTGGTGAGGATGCGTAATATATTGTGAGAGGCTGGTGTGTGCTGCGCAGTGAGGTGCATCGCACTTCTCCCCGCAGCATCGCTTCAGATGGCTCCTGTTTGTGTGTGTAAGGAATTTCTCCGGTATCTTAAAGGTGTAAATTAGGCGGCCCCGAGCACACTATGAGGCTCTTCAAGTCTTTCCTCGCTGGGAATAATTCTTAACGTTGGTGTCAGTGTGGCGGCACTCTGCGCTGTGCGCGCGCAGGGCGGTGTATAGTTACGGTGGTGTTTGGGGCGCTATATTCATGACGGGTTTTATCTGTGAGAGCTATCATTGTGTTGGCGTGTGTTGCTGGCAGCTAGACGGTGCTTGGTGTACGGCAGATCTTATCTAATGACCACTGTAAACTCTTCTTATGTCTTGCCAAGTGGTTTGCAAAACAGTGCGTGTTTGTGTTGAACATTTTTGTAGCCAAAGCTCTTGACTTTTAATTTAATCTACGTTAAAACTCAGTTTATGGGTCTCTGAGCATCGTGCTAGCAGGCCTATGTATTGTGGGCAGGCCTAGGTATTATGGGCAGGCCTAGGTATTGTGGGCAGGCCTAGGTATTGTGGGCAGGCCTAGGTATTGTGGGCAGGCCTAGGTATTGTGGGCAGGCCTAGGTATTGTGGGCAGGCCTAGGTATTGTGGGCAGGCCTAGGTATTGTGGGCAGGCCTAGGTATTGCTAGCACACCTTGGTAAAGCTAGTAGGCCTACGTGTGTTGAATGCTTATACGCTACGGAGCATGAATGGTCAAAATTTTGTGGTACCACTGAATTTTTAAATTCTTAAGTTTCTATGCGAGGAACCTTTGGTTCCTTTGTTTTATTTCTTATATTCAGTACAGACACATCGAACACTGTATGTAGGGAATACGTAAAACTGTGTATCTATGTATTTACGTATGTAGGTTAGCTTAGCATTTTAAAAGCACCGAATCACCTTCTGTGGTTGAGTGTTCAATAAACCCTTGAACTATATGTTTAACACTTCGGTTCACGTTATTAAGAAATATCTGTATGGTTGAGTTTGATGGGATGGAGTACTTCGTGTCGCGTGTATCCCACTTTTTGTGCACCGATTGTGTATCCCTTTCGTGTGCCGACTGTGTCCCCTCGTTCGTACGCCGATTTTCCCCCTCGTTCGTACGCCGATTTTCCCCCTCGTTCGTACGCCGATTTTCCCCCTCGTTCGTGAACCGACTGCGTCCCCTTGTTCGTGGACGACCTATCCCAAATACGCTATTCTTGTCTGCTCTCTCTCTATTCCTCTAAATATTTTGGACGTAGTAATGAAGCCTTCTTTAATTGTTCTATCTTCCAGTGATAATAGGTTTAATTCCTTCAGTCTTTCCTTGTAATATGCGGGTAAGAGGTCAGCCACACAGACGGTGCATTGTCTGGCGACATACAGAGACATCAGAAATATGTGTAGAATAATAAACCCCACATTGTTTGAATTAGGAAAACACTATTTGTCAAATATTGATACTGTTCTTAAAAGATTCCCCATTTTGTACCCGCAAGATAACGTAAGCTTTTAAGGCTTGATAGATGTTAATCTTCTTGTTTGAAGAGCTGTTCACTTGAGACAGTTAAGCAAGTCCCAGCTGTGTCAGGGTACAAGTGACAGGATGAACAACCAAGCGGGTTTTCTTCCTCTTGGGGAGTGTTGTACATGCTGCTATGGCGGTGTGTCCACTCACAAGATGAGTGGCGCTGCCCAATAAACTCGCCCCTCGGGGCAAATTTTAAAAATTTATACAGGTAATCAAGTGTTTTATGTTTAACAAGACAAGTGCACCCTGGTGCCACATTTCTCAGAATTGGTCAGTAAGATGTGGTAAAGATTGTAAAGATGGTAAAAAGTAAGATTGGTCAGTAAGATATGATGTAAAACATTATTGACTGATTTCAGTCCGAGAAAGAAATTCATACTTCGGCCAACCTTACATATGCTGTAAGGTTAGTATGAGTGTGAGCTGGGCCTGGGCCTTGGGAGGCAGGTTCGGTGTCACCCCCACCCCGCTTCCCCAGATCATTTTCTCAGTCCGCTCCCGAAAGGTCTTACCAAAGTACCAAAGGTTATTTGGTACCTTTGTGTTCGATCTCCCTCATGTTCCCAGCACCCAGTTTCATTACTTAGCTCTTGCTGTAGTTTCTTGCCGCCTTCCCCCAGCATTTATCATCATAATTCTTTTATTTAAAATTTTGTTTTCGCTTGAAACTCGAGCATGTTTGGTGGAACATGTGTTTCATTATGCAGGCAGGTGTGTGGACAGGTGTGGAAAGCAGGTGCAGCGGAAGTGTTCGCAGAACCTTCCCACCACTCAGGCGCCACATCACAGCGCATTACGGTAGTTGATCGTTAAATTACGTGAAAATGGATTACTTGTGAACGTGCTGAGATCTGACAGGCTGCCAGTGGAGAAAGTACTGTGTATCTTGGATTGTATTACTGACTCAAATAACTCCAGATATATATCCTGGAGTCCTGGGGACCATTCAGGCTTGTTTGCATATATATATATATATATATATATATATATATATATATATATATTATATATATATATATATATATATATATATATATATATATATATATATGTATATATATTGGACATTGTCTTCTGTGTTGGCATCGTTATATTCTGGTCTTGTCCTTACTCTCATGGATGGTGGGTAGAGTAACTCTACCCACCATGAGAGTAAGGACAAGACCAGAACATAACGATGCCAACACTGAAGACAATGTCCAACATAATAGGCCAATTACACTGGATATATATATATATATATATATATATATATATATATATATATATATATATATAATCTCTCTCTCTCTCTCTCAAAATACTCTGATAAGTCATAATCTCGTCTAGCAACCTCAGTGTTCCATATTAAAATGGTTTTTAATTAATGAACAGATGTTGAACTATTCTTGAGCATTTCAAGAATAGAGAGAACAACGAACAGAGGAGAGACGATGGTTGTGGAACACTATCCTGGGTTATAAACCTATTAGTGGAATCAAAAGGACTGGTAGGCTGGTGAGGCCTAGGCACATAATTATGTGAGGGTCAGTGGCCCCAGGACACTTCACAGCTGCCTACAGTGTAAAGCTGGCGTTCACAGCTTTCTATAGTGTAAAATTGTTCACAGCTGTCTACGATGTAAAGCTTGATTTCACAGCTGTCTATAATGCAACTGTTAGCTGCTTCTTGATAGTTGGCTGAGTTTAGTGTAGCTGTGCTTCGCAAATGTCTTAATCTTGTGTTATGGTTGTAAGCTGTCAATTATTTCAGTGTTGTTTGTCAGGAGATCTCTGCTGATGATCTGGCTGTGTGAAGAAATTATATATTCTCTAATGGAGCCTTGCAAGATCTCATCAAAGAACATCTCTTAGCATCGTGCCATAATAAAACTTCAAAATGAACATTTGGAGA